CATTGCTTTTGCTGCACAGGCGGCCGCAGGCATTTTGCCAGCAGCAGCGCTCTGACGCAGGCGTGCCTCCAGAAGAGCCCCACCAGGGCTTTAACCGGGTCCGAGTGGGGCAATCAGCGGGATGGTGATGGTTTATAGCCCCCCTGGGTCTGGCCCAGGCTCTCCAAGGCACGAATTTGGGCTTTGGAGGTGATGCTCTCCCCCCATTCTCACTGTTTTGCAGTATTTGTGTGTCTGAGAAGAGTTTAATCCCCCTGATTTGAAGGTGTTTCCAAGCCAGACTTTCTGCCAAGCTGTCGGCTGCTTCTCAGCTCCCCTGGGGCGACCCATGGGGTGTAAATATCTCGCTTGTTGGCCCTGGGTCCAACAGGTGCCCACGGCCAGTGGGTTTCCATGGCCCTCAGTGCAGACACGGGGCGATCACGCCAGTGCAGCTGCTGCAGGGCCGTGCTTGCAGTGGGCACGGCGGCCTCAGGGAGACGTGGCCGGGGCAGGCAAGTGTGGCCCTGACCCAGCCGGGAGCGGCTGGACCCTGCAGCAGGGTTTGCATTAAGGCGCTGGGAGGCGATGAACCCATCCAGATCTCAGCATCACCCCTTCTCCCCAGCAGCCTGGCCCAGCCCTGCCCCGAGCTCAAAGCAAGGTCTGCATCCTCTCCCACCTCGCTGCCTGCTTTCGGAGACGTAGAGCCTGCCCAGGTTCAAGGGGGGTTAGGGACGGCTGCCATGTCTCATCTCAAACAACTCTTGGCCAGGGACAGGTACAGAGAGGTTTGTGTTCCCGAGCTCCAGACAAATGAGTTTTCACCACTGAGGCAAAAAAGCAAACTCTCGCCGCCTGGGGAGATGCTTTTCCCTGGAACTTAGTGTAATTAAAAAATAACAACACAGGGATTTCTCCAAAGACTATGGAGAAATTAGTACGCCAAGAAAAACAAACTGAATGACCTCTTAAATAATGCCGCCTGCTGTCTCAGCGGCGGATGACCTCTTAAATAATGCCTCATCTGTGGTAGCACAGAAAACGTGCGCTTGAGCTCAGAGACGTTGCAGAAGCGTGGGAACAACCCCTGCCCTCCCAGATCACAGGTTTTCTTTGGTCACGTTCACACAGGTGGAAAAAGATGAGTTTCTGTAAATACCAGGAGAAGGAGACAGTACCCGGTGTGACGGCAGTGACGTACGTGTCATGGAAAAATGGATGCTGGGATCTAAGCGATCTTAAGTCAGAACAGCCAAAACTGCCTCTCCTTAACTCAAGAGTGATGATGGGAAAATGGAAATTTGAAACATTTCCAGCTATTAAGTGCTTTTGCATTTATTTTTGGCCAATGAGATGTTCAGCTTGTGTGTGGGGGTTGTGTTCTGTAACTCTTCCAGGAAAATAAGCATGAGGAGAAGGTCCAGGATCCTGACAGAGGGGAGGACAAGACCAAGGCAGAGATGGGGAGCAAAACCTGGGCAGACCTGGCTGGGGAGATGAAGATGTTCCTGTGGAACCCGGAGGAGAGAACATGCCTGGGGAGAACAGCCAAGAGCTGGGGTAGGTCCTTGCTCAAGCCCCGCTTTCGGGGATCGTTGCCTTTTCTGCTTCATGACGGATGCACTTCCCTGTGAACGTCCTTGATAGCTTGGACTGACCACCCCCGTCCCACATTTTCAGGGTAGATGTTTCTAACCAGTGCAATAAAGAACTAGTGAGGAGGACAAGCAGAAAACCTTGGGAAAGTTACCCTTGGTCTGGATGTTAATGTTCACTGAGAATGTGAAAGCAAAGATTTCAGGCTGCCCAGACCGTGTACTGGGAAGAACTTAAGAGCCCGAGCAAGCGCGGGGGCTGCAGGTCGGTCTGCCAGAGCCACGCACCGCTGCTGCCGCCAGCGACCCGGCTCCTGCCTGTGTAAGTCAGGAGCCCACGGGGAGGTGGCTTTGGGGTCATCAGTGTTGGTGGGGGAAGAGCGCCCGAGTCACGGGGCAGGTGTTTCGGGGAGGGTGCACACCGCAGGGCCGAGCAGCCCACCTTGCTGGGTGGGAAAAGCTGGTCATCGCCGTCACCCCGCAGCTTCCCGGGGCGTGACATGGTGCCCACAGCAGAGCCCGCGTGTGCTGTGGGGGCTGGTGGGTGGAATGTGCCAGTGAGGGTTTTGAGCACCGTTCTATTTTATCTGTATCCACATCGCCTTCAAAAATTATCTCTGAGCTTGGAGGTGCCCTGGGTGGTTAAGAGCAGCCCACGGCTGCGGGGTGAGCACTGCTGCAGGCTCAGTCCGAGGTCAAGGTGCCACGGCACACGCGATGCCGTCCACCTTTGCAGCTCTGTTCTCCTGACAGCGCATAGCCCCCGAAGCGGAGTGAAAATCCTCAACCTTAGCCCAGTCATGTGCGCATACGCACCTGTGTAAGGCTGCGAATTATCTGGGGTTGCTGCTCAGCGTTTGCAGCCCTTGGCTGCTGGCACTGGCAACATGCTCGCAAGCGCCGCAGCCTGCCCGTACCCCCGCCGAGCGCTCTGGGTCTCCTGCAAAGCCTGTGGGGACAGCCGGGAGAAACAAAGCAAACTGCCCACGAGCACTGGAGGAGTCTGAAAACCCACAAGCACAGATCTGGGGCAGGCCTTGAAATCCACGTTTGCTCCCCCGTGCCTTTTGCTGGCCACAGAGGCAGCCTGGTTTTGCTGCTCCTTTGCTGGATGGGAAGGCACAGACTGGAGTGTGGGAGCAGTACCGGGGTGACAGTCCTTAGGGACGTGGGTTTGGGTTTGTGGAGGCTCTACCAGGTGCTGAGAAAAGCCCTGTGAGAGGGCTTGCTCAGGCTGGTGTGCATGTGGCCCCGGCTGGCTACTGCTGGAAGTTATTTATTTACAGCCTCAGGGAGGGTGCAGCATCCTCCTGCGCTCTGGGAGCATCATGGTGTGCTATACGGCCCCGCTGCCCTACGGACACACGTACCCCCGGCTGCACTCCCGCGTGTGCTCACGTGCCCGTCCAACGGGGCGGGAGAGAGGCACTGAAGTTACTGTGAAAATCAAATTTTCTTTTAAGATGAGAGCATTTGGAGGTGAATGGAGCTGAACTTTCCTGCTCTCATCTCACAGGAGATGAGGAGAAGGGAGTTTGCCCAGCCTGGGACTGCTCCCCCGCACTGGCCCTGAAGGTGTTCCCCAGGGACGGGGGGCTCAGGGGACTTGCACTGCCAAAATGCAGGGAGCCGGCTGGCCACAGGGTCAGCACTGGAGGCCTGCTGCATTGCAGGAAACATAAGAACGGGAATGGTAGCAGCACCATGTCCCACAAGCGTCGGCTCGGCACCCCAGGGGCGGCTTCAGCCCCACCAGGCTGGTGCAGAGGCACTGTCCCAGCATCATTGTGGCAGGGCTGGACATTGACCCTGCTGTGCCATCAGCAGTAGTGAAGGTCCCACCCGACCTGGCCTGGCCTGCAGCAGGACATGGCCCCGCAGTTGTTCCCAGCACCGCGGCCTTGGCAGAAGCACGGCAGGAGCGCACATCTGCGTTCCCAGGGCTCCCTCTGAGCTGCCGGCACGTTTCTCCTGGGAAATGTTTGGGTTAGGGCTTCACTTTGCTTTCAGAGCCGCTGGGTTTTATTCATAGGCCACGGCCTCTTGAGACATCCTCAGCCATTAGCCTGGTCCAGAGGAAAAACAAACCCATTCCCTGGACGTCAGGGCTATGGAACATCCAGCGGTACCGCAGCCCCCGAGCGATGCCGCCCGCTTCAGTCCCAGCGCTGGGGTCCCTGCCGCGCAGGCGACAGGAGTCGGGGCAGGAGCATCACCCCGCAGCCCCCATCGGGAATTTGGACGTGGTGAAGCCACTGGGCACCCTCGCGTGCTACCATGCCAAGAGGGGGTGGGAAGGGCAAGAGCCAAGGTCGGGTCTGTCTGTGAGAGAGAGCCGAGGCAGGTGGACACACAGACGTGGTCCTGACCCAGCTCTGGGAAGGGCCATGCAGCAAAAGGGGTACAGAGCCAAACGGCAGCTGCCCTGGCCCCGGGGCTGGGCAGGCAGTGTGTCTGGCTGAGAGTCCTGCACCCAAAAATGCCAGGGTCTGTGTGCGGAGGGGGGCTGCGAGCTCCTACCCCCATGATGGACTCAGAGCTGCGGAGGACGCCATGCTGAGCATGGCTGTGCATCCCTGCAGGACACAGCCCGTGGGACATGCTCTGATTGCGTTAACAACAACATGCCCTCTCTCTTTTGCAGGTTTGATCTTACTGTTTTACTTCATTTTCTATACGTGCCTGGCAGGAATGTTCGCCTTTTGCATGTATGTGATGCTGCTCACGCTGAGCCCCTACACGCCCAGGTACCGGGACCGTGTGTCTCCACCAGGTACGTACCCCAGCCAGCCCGGCCTCAGGCACCTCTGCCGGCACTCACCCAGCGAAGTGCTGCCGAAACGGCGTGGCAGGGACCTCGGGTAAAGCCCTGCTGGAGCTGTACGCTCCTACGGTCAATCAGCCCTCCGTAAACGGGGTGTTATTACTTACCTCCGGGCACTGACAGTGCTGCAGGTTCTCTGTAGAGGGTCAGGCATCTTAAATAGCCCCACGTGAAGCATTCATTCTAATTATACTAATTGTTATTCTAATTATGCTAATTATTAGGCTAATTATTCTCAAGGTAAATGAGCAAGTTTAGGCATTTCATAGGTGACACCCATTCATATCAGTTGCTGCCCCTTTATACCTCATACCTTCAAAATAAAATGCAAATCAAGAGTAGCTTTTATACACTATTATTTGGGGGAGTCCTGGCAAGATAATGTTCAAAAACTCCTTTCCCTATGACAGAAGCAGCATTTTCCCTGTGTTTTCGGGTCGGTGGGGAACACGAGGCCCCCTCGCCCTGCTCCCTGCCCGGAACTGGCTGCGCGGCTGGGAGCATGGGGGACCCTCAGCCTCCGTGTGCAGCCCCAAGCCCTGCAGCACTGCTGATACCCTCCAGGTCTCCCATGTTTCCCGGATATTTTGATGTGCATGGTGTTCTCTGGGTGTGAAATGGAGGTGAGGGATCAGCGGGTGGAGGAGAGAATTTACTTGTGAGCTGGTGCTGCTGCTCTCGTGCCTGTGCCCAGCCCCAAGCCCAGTCGCAGCGCAACCAGCCCCTGCAACACGCGCCCCAAGCCTGTGGCCAGTTCACCCACGTCTGCTCTAACAGGGTCCGTTTCCTTCTCCAGGAGTAATGATCAGACCATACTTGCATGGGTTCACCATTGCCTTCAATGTCTCTCAGCCCAGCACATGGCAACCCTACGTGGACAGCATGCACCACTTCCTAGCAGGTAAGCTCTTAGGCACCTCAGGAGTCATGTCGGCAAGCTGTTTGCATCCATGCACCCATGCACACAGTGCAGGGGTCTCCTCCTGGGGTGCAGATCACCTCTTGGCATCTCACGACCCCCATCTAGAAAGGGAGGCTCGTAAGGTGGTCACAGGAGCTTCTGTGGGAGGGAGCCTTGCCTTTCCAGGTGGGACTTTCTAACTCCCTTGACATGCAGATGTACTCTGAGAACATGGGTCTGTGCAGGTCTCGAGAAACATTAACAAGTCTCTTGGTCCCCACCAGCTTATGATGACAAAGTTCAAGAGGAGAAGAATATCGAGTGTGTCTCAGGACAGTACTTCATCCAAGGGGGCAATGAAAGCGAGGAGAAGAAGGCCTGCCAGTTCAAGCGCTCACTGCTGCAGAACTGCTCTGGCATTGAGGACCCAACGTTTGGCTACTCTAAAGGCCAGCCCTGCATCCT